TGACCATAGTTTGAGTCCCGAACCTGGCAGCTTGTTTTTTCACTTTTCCTTTCTCTCTCTCACACTCTGTCCCTCTCTGGTCACATTTTAAAAATGAGTAAATAATTTTTTTTAAAAGTTTAAAAAAATATTTTTTTTTTCAAGAGGTTTTTCGCTATAGGGCTCGTGCGCTCGCCAGACAGAGACAGAGAGACAGAAAGCGAGAAATCACCCCCCAGGGGGGATGGTCATGCCGCAATCCTTTCTCCTCCATTCTCCTCTTGGGATCTTGGGCACGCACGTACACGCGCCCGGCGTGAGTTTAAGCCACCGGGTCCGGGACGTGAACCGCAGCCGACTACATGGGAGTCCAACGACATAGCCATTACGCTAACTGCTGGTTCCCTTAAAAATATTTTTTTTAAAAAAAGTGTGTAATGGAAAGACTTTGGAAACTTCTGTTTATGGTCAGGAACAAGACAGACATGCTGCCCTCACTGCTGCTGCTTACCCCAACACCAGACGTCTTGGCCGAGGGAGCGGGAGAGGAAGACTGGCCTGTGCTTTCTGTTTCCCGATGCAGAAATGCGGCACGACTTTGCCGACAACCCGATATACATAAGAAACCAAAGGATGGGGAACCAAAAAGACGAAACTGATTGTGTGGGTTATGAATGTGTGTCACTAACCTACTTACCCATACACATAGGACAGTTACAACTGTTAATGCATTTAGCAATTTGCACTACTAACACATTTCAGCAGTTAAATGAAATACCATTTTTTTTTTTTAATTTGCTAACTGGCTTGTGCGCTGTCAGAGATGGAGAAAGGGCCAGCAGGTGGTGTAGTGGTTAAGGTGCCAGACTAAACGTGGCTGACCACAGTTCAAGTCCTGAACCCTGAGGCTTGAAACATGTCAGGTGCGTGTGCGTGCGTGCCCAAGATCCCGAGAGGAGAATGGAGGAGAAGGGATTGCGGCGTGGCCATCACCCTGGGGGCTGGTTTCTTGCTGTCTGTCTGTCTCTCCGGTGAGCACAGGCGCCCTATAAAAAAAAAATAAATTAAAAAAGGAGAGAGAGAGGGGGAAAGTGAGAAATTACTCCCAGGGATATGGCCGCACAAGCCCAGAAACACACCAAAGTATGCGCCAGGAGCGAGGTTTTGAGCTAAGTAGCTTCACAAGTCAAGGAAAGAGATGTTTTTGGAACTGCTTTGTACACGATGACAGAATACTGCGTTAGTGAAAGTTGGAGGGAAAGAAATCAAATTATATTCCTAATTTTATATTTTATAAAAACCACAGAGAGATTAAAGACCTCAGTGTGGAAGTCAAGAGATAAAAACATAGGATAACAGAATTTGACTTGGGGAAAGATTTTTTTCAACACAATTTTATTTTAAAAAATTTTAAGAGTTATTTTTACTTTAGGGCACATGAGCTTGCTGGAAAGACAAGGAAACACAGGGAGACAGAAAGCGAGAAATCATCCCCCAGTGGGATGGCCACACCACAATCCCTTCTCTGTTTCCCTCCTGGGATCTTGAGCACATAGGCCTGGCGTGAGTTTCAAACCTTCTGATCCAGGACTTGAACCGTGGTCAGCCATGTGGGAGTCCAGCAATGTAACTGTTATGCCATGTGCTGGTCCCAAGATGTTTTTAAAAACAATTATTTTCTTTAACTTTATTTATTTTCATTTGACCAGAGAGGGACAGAGTGAGAACGGGAGAGAGAAAGCAAGCTGCCAGGTCCGGGAGTTGAACCATGGTTGGCCATGTGGGAGTCCAGTGCCCTTAACCACCACACCATCTACTGGTCCCCCCAAGAAGATGTTTTAAAGATCAATCATAATGGAGAAATAGGGTGGTCTGCCTGTGAACGCAGGAAAACACAGTATGAGTAGCTGCGCTCTGAGCGTCAGACTCTCTGAGCTCACCTCCTGCATGAAACGTGCTCAGGGGCGTCCCAAAGAATCAAAAGAACGTCGTTGTGCTCGCGCTGTTGCCGTGGGGTGACCACAGTGCTGGGGTGACTCGATGGTCCCTTTTGTCGTACTGTTCTTTTCAGGGGGCTCAGGAGGAACTTCTTAGTGAGGATCCTGAAATACAGATGCGGTCACAAGCGAGACCTTAGAACTTGATCGGTACAAGCTTGGGGGGGGTTCAGCTGTGGGTGGGTGTGGGTCCCCTTAATGCAGGAGGTGGACTGGTCGTGGACACCTCCCAACCAAGCCTGACAAAACCCCAGAATCATGCCAGGAGCTTGATAAAAATAAGTTGGAGGGCCCCACCTGCTGTCCTCTGATGCAGGCGGCGGGAGGCAGCTCAGCCTCCGGGCGGGGGCTGTGGGAGTCCAGTGCCCTTAACCACTGCACCATCTGCCAGGGCTGGACCTGCCCGTCTGACAGCCCCCGAGCGGCCGGGGCTGGACCTGCCAAGCCGGATCCCCTTTCCAGAACTGCCAGGTCCCGAGGGTGCAGAAGCACCAGGGCAGATGGAAGGGCCGTGGCTGGGCTGGAAGGAGGGACGAGGACCAGCCTGCAGGCGTGGGCAGCAGGGAGCAGAAGTGACCAAGGGGTGCCATGGTGCCAGACTGCTCTGCCCTGTCCGGGCTGGCCCCGCGCTAGGACGGTGGCTAACTGCCTCCTGCACCAGCCTGGAGCTTCCTAGCAGGAGAGCCTTGCGTTCATTGTTTGCATGTGCATGGGAGGGTGATATGCAAGGGACAGGGACGGGCTCTGGCAGGGGACAAAGCCATCAGCCCTCCTGAGCATCCAGGGGCCATGCCGTGGGGAGCCAGCAGCCCCGTTTAGAGACATGCCCCTAAACAGCCTGGGCGTCCTGGACAGGCGTCTAGGAAGCAGTGACGTCCCAGGTGGTGACAGTGAAGGAGGGTAGCAGAGCAGAATTTCAGTCCCAGCAAGGACACGTGCAGGCCCTCGGCAGACGGGAAGAGGCCAAGGTGGTGGGACCGAAAGGTCGCAGAGGGAAGTCGCAGGGATGATGCTGGGCGCTCCCCGTGCCAGGGTTTGCCCTTTAGTACTGGCAGTGGCAGCACAGGGAGAGGGGCCATCCCTCCTCTCTCCTCTCGCCAGCTCCCAGCCTGGGGTCAGACTGGGCGGCTGAGGGAGCACAGAGCAGGGCGGGCTGTGGCTCCTGGCTGCTCCCCGCTCCCCGGGGTCCCCCTCCCCCTGTTCCTGGGGGACGCTGGTTCCCCTGGGGTGCAGCAGGGTGTTTTCCTCAGCACCTGGGAATATTAGTGTAGGCCACCGCGTAGAGCTGGAGAGACTGAGGCACGTGTCCCAGAAGTCTCAGCAGCACCAGTGTCCCTGACCTCAGGCCGTTAAAAACTGCTCCTGGGCCAGCAGGTGGCACGGCAGTCAAGGTGCTGGACTCCCATGAGGCCAACCCGACGGTTTGAGTCCTGGACCCCAGGTGCACGTGTGTGGGGCCCAGAATCCTGAGAGAACGGAGGAGAGAGGACTGTGGTGTGGCCATCCCCCGGGAGGTGCTCTCCCACTTTCTCTGTTTCTGTGTGTCTCTCCAGCAAGCACACAGGCCCTATGGCAGAAATCGAGAATCAGATTGTTCTGTCTCTTCCTTTGAAAATGACTGTCCTTTTGAGTGCTTGGTCTCAGCTCAGGTGTGCAGTCGAGTCCCCAGGGCCACATCCGAGCTAGGCCAGGGGCTGGCACTTGGCGTGTGTGCAGGAGGTGTGAGCTGCCCAGACACACCTGCTCCGTTCCTGGGCATAGGCTCCTGAGCCCAGGTGGCAGGGCAGCCCCTTCCCCGCCGTGGTGCTCCCAGGCCCACTGCGGATCTGATCCCACTCTGGCCTCAGGCCCAGGACCGAGCATGGGCAGTGACGGCGTTTTAGTGATCCGAGGCTCGTGGCCAGGGGCCATGTACTCGTATGGCCCTACTGGTCCGTCCTCCCCTGAGACAGACCTGCGTGGGTGAGAGGGTCCCGGGCGGGTACACACTGAGGCTCCTGACGGAGGCTGGAGGCACTCAGAGCAGACAGGGTTAGCCAGGGCACTGTCATGCGCTGGCCCCCACACTGCCCTCTTCTTGTCACTCACCAGGACCCATGGCTGGTGGAGTGCCCAAGGTTGTGGCCACATAGTCAGAAACTACTGGACTGCAGGCCAGGGCATCCCACCCGCCTTCCTTCATAAAATCGTCTACTTTTTGCCTAGAGAATGCTTGCGTTGTTCTAGTTCTCTGGAAGGGACAATGTGAGGGACGATGTGATGGGCGATGTATAATAATAATAGGGGACTTGGGACCAGCAGTTAGTGTTATGGCTACGTCGCTGAACTCCCGTATATTCGACTGCGGTTCGAGTCCTGGATCCGGTGGCTTAAACTCACACCGGGTGCGTGTGTGTGTGCGTGTGTGCCCATATGTGCCCAAGATCCTGAGAGGAGAATGGAGGAGAAGGGATTGCGGCTTGGTCATCCCCGCTGGGGGATGATGTCTCACTTCCTGTCTCTCTGTCTCTCTCTTTCTGGCAAGTACACGCTCCCTATAGCAAAAACGTCTCCAAATAAATAAATAAATAAATAATAGGGGACTGACGTGCAAGGAGCAAGCCAAGAACAAGGAGCAAGCCGAGCGTCATCCTGTGTCCAGGATGGGAGGGATCTGCCTTAGCAGGGATGAGGGGGCTGATTTGCATATGCAAACAAGGAATTTATGGGGCACCTCCTCTGCTTCTCACCCTCATGGCCTCCACAGAGGGGAGGGAGGGCAGGTGAGCCCCTGCAGTCACCTCCAGCCCCTACCTTGTCCCCAGCCTGCACCCAGGCTCTCTGTGGCCTGCCCCACTGGCTGGTGCGCTCCTGAGGGCAGGGCCCGCTGAGTCGCCTGGGGCCTTGTGGGTGCTGAGAGCATGTGTGGCCATCACACAGGTGGGCGGGAGGAAGAGGGAGCTGGCGGGCAGAACTGAGAACTTGGCGGCACCCACAGGGTCTGACTGTGGAGTCTAACTTCCCCTCGGGGGTTCTGCTCCCTAGATCCATTTCCCGGACGTGGAGCGGGTCGAGTGGGCCAACAAGGTAAGGCCAGGCGCGCAGTGAACTCACTTCAGGCCTCATCCTCCAGCCTGCGGGAGGGCAGCCAGGTCACAGGGTGTGGACAGAGGCCCGGGTTCCAGGCAGTCCCCTTGTCCAGGAGGAGCAGCAGTGGCCCTTCCGCTGGAGTGGCAGCCTCTCCCCTGCCTCACTGGCCAGAATGGTATGCTTCGCTACTCTTACTTTTTCTTTTTAAAATAAGTTTAAATAATGCAGGGCACAGCAGCAAACCTAGGAGATACAGAGGACAGGAGGCGCAGCTCTGCACTGGCCCACCTGGCGAGTGCCCTCCTAGGGGAGGGGACCCTGATGAGACACCGCTGGGACTGCTCTAGATTAACCAAGTAGCTCCCCGGCTCCGCCAGGCGCCCTGACCGTGGTGGGGCAGCTGGCCCATCCCTTCCAGACCAGTCCCCACGTTACTGGCGGGGAACCAGCCCTGCGGTCATCTGCTCACACCTGTCACGCGAAAGCCCCACTGCAATCCCCAACCTTGTTATTTATTTTTTAAACTTGGTTAGGGCGTTTCCATTCAAAGTGGGGGTGAGAAATCCCCTCCAGGGAGGATGGCCACACAGCATTCTCTTCTCCTGCACACATGGGCCTAGCATGTTTTCAAGCCACCGGTCCGGGATTTGAACTGTGGAGTCAGCCGTGTGTCATCCAGCCATCTAGCCACCATGCCAGCTGGCTGGTCCTGCATTAGGAGGAGTGACCAGTTTCTGTGGACCAGTGGAGGGCCCGGCCTCTGGCGCGAACCCTGAGGTGGCTCCCGTGTGTGTGAACTGGGTCCTGGATCCCTGCCTGCCTGACGTCTTTCAGTGACTCACACACGCAGGCCCACGCGAGGCGCTGGAGAGCTGGGCTGTGGGGACGGGGCGCCCACCCTTGTTGGCGGTGTAGACAAACCACATACCAGGGATGTCCTAATGTTCTCATGAGGCACTCCAGGAATGGCAGCCCAGCCAGAAAAGAAGACGGGACCAGCCCCTAGAGATTTAGAACCTGGGCTCGGGAGAGGCCTCTGGGAGAGGCAGAAACAGTGGCATCTCACAGCCCTAGGCGTTTCCACTCCTTTTTGGAGGCATGGCCGAGGAAGGCCCAGGCCCATGGGACAGAAGAGGGAGCACCCCTGCACCCAACAGGACGCGCACCTGTCACTAGCCCCTCACCCAACAGGACGCACCTGCCGCTAGTCCTCACCCAACAGGACCCCCCCCCCCCCCCCCCAAGAGCCCCCCCCTGCCGCTAGTCCCGCACCCAATCCAACACAGCTGCTGCTAGCCCCTCTAGACACCCCTCTGATGACACCTTCATCAGCTGCCCCTGCCATCCGCTCTCCCAAGTCCCGCTTGGTCCCCAGACCAGCTCCAGCAGTCACTCTGCTGCAGAAATACGCCAAGGCTGCCTTTAATGACGATTGCTCGAAAACAAAGTCCATGCAGATTAATTTTTTAAGAGAGATTTTTGCTATAGGGCACGTGTAGTCGCTGGAGAGACAGAGAGAAAATGAGAAACCACCCCCAGGGGGGATGGCCACGCCGCAATCCCTTCTCCATTCTCCTCTTGGGATTTTGGGCATGTAGGCACACACGCCAGCATGAGTTTGAAGCGACCAGGGGACTTGAACTATGGTTAACTATGTGGGAGTCCAGCAATGTAACCATTATGCCATTGGCTGGCCTCCTGCAAACTAATTTCTAATCTGTACATTTTTCTTAAACCTCCGGCACCTGCTACCTTTTGTTCCCCCCACAGTGTAGAATGAGATGATGTTTTAGCCGGAAACTAAAGGGCTTCATCGTGTCAGCTTCAGTGGACGAGGGTTTCACGGTTTCACGGTGACCCACAGAATGGCACCAAGTGCTGAGTGCTGGATCCTGTGTCCTGGGGAGGGGGGCACTGCGGGGGATCACGTGTGTGAGGGGCAGGTGGACGGTGGGGAGGTGGCGGGATGGGGACCTCAGCCCAGAACCAGGCTGCACAGGGGCAGTGAGAGCACAGCCCCGACCCCCAGGGCTTCTTCCTGTCCTCACAGATCATCGCCCAGATCTGGCCCTACCTGAGCATCATCATGGAAAGCAAGTTCCGGGAGAAGCTGGAGCCCAAGATCCGGGAGAAGAGCGCCCACCTGCGCACGTTCACCTTCACCAAGCTCTGCTTCGGACAGAAGGTCGGTGCTGCGGTGGAGGGCCGCCTGGACGGCTGTGCGGCCTGCCCTGTCCCTCTCCCTTGGTCCCTCCCAGCCTGTCTGTCTCGCCCACACCCCCATCGGTCTCTCCAGGCCCCAGGAAGGCTGGCTCAGAGGGGACAGGAAGGAGCGGTGGGCAATAGTTCCACTTTTCTTAAGCAGATTCTGAAAACATGCAGTGGTGGTCAGGCAGCTTCAAGGACAAAAGGCCTCGTCCCCAAGCTCAGGCATCCCCGGCGGCACACACACCTTCAGGCCTGACCGGGGGTTCCAGCAGTCGGGGGAGGAGCCCAGGCCAGGTCTGGGAAGGTCAGCAGGCATCCAGGGTGAGGTGGTCTGTGGCCGGGAAGTTCATGGGTGCATGCCTGGCGCCGTGGTCCCTGTTCTAGACTGGGCTTCCTGTTCCCTCCACTCCCCCGGTGTCCCACTCCTGCCCCGAAGTGCCCGTTGACAGGAGTCTCATTTTGATCATCCCGAATGCTCCCAGACGGGGTCGCTGTGCCAGCCCCCACCTGTAGCTCAGAGGCATGACACCAGCCTGCCCTGGAGCAGGCAGGGACAGAGCAGGGCCAGCCCCTCGGGGGTCTGGTGCTCCAGTCCTGTGCTCAGCCCCACGTGGGAGGTGCGTAGGGCGCCTGCACCGAGGCCGAGGCCCCGAGCTGTGCTGCTCGGCCTCTGCGGGTTCGTGTGCTCACTCCTGGTTTCCTTCACGTCTGAATTACTGAATGTGCACTGAGCACCGGGCACGCAGTCAGGCGTGGGTGCGCTCCTGCTGCAGGAGGCAGACATGTAAACTGAGGCAGCAGCGTGGCAGTATGTGTACGCTCCACGCAGAGGAATGTGTGAGGTCGGAGTGGAGGGCGGAGGGGCTGTGGTAGTCAGGGAAGACTTCCAGGAGGCGGGTGCTGAGCTGGGTTTTGAGGAATTCTGTGGGCTGGGAGCCAGGAAGCCAGCAGACTGCCGCATGCTCCACCAGGCCAGGCTGCTCCTCCGCGGCAGTGTTCTGGGCGGGCACTGCTAGCAGGTGGCCTCATCAGGAGGACCTGGGGGCAGCCTGGTGGCCAAGCAGACAGCTCAGCCCCGCGGGAGAAATACCTGACTCCAGTCCTGGCATTCAAAGCCCGCACGCCGGGCTCCTCTTACCTCCCTCTCCTCTCCCTTCCTCATCTCCCCTCCTTCCCGTACTGACCCCCATCCTGGGCTTGGCCAGGACCTAGGAGGGCCCCATACCCCCTCCCTCACTGGGAGTGCTCCCAGCTCCCTCTGATTCTGTCTGCCCAGGTCTGCTCTGTGCTTGGTGACCTTGGGCTGGAGACTTCACCTCTCTGAGCCTGTTTCCTTGGGTATAAAAGGAAAGGACCCACTTCTAAAGGAGGCTGTGAAGCATGACCCGCAGGCCTGGCCTCAGGACTGCGTGGTGTGGCTGCATCCTGTCCAAGGCCGTGCTGAGGGGCGTGGAGCTGGGAGGGCCAGTGGAGGCCAAATTCTAGCTTGGGCCCTCCTAGCAGAGCCCTGGGCCAGGCATGCTCAGTGGTTACTCCTCTGTGTGGTCGGGGCCTCGAGGCAGGCAGCCCCCCAGGACCTGTCTGTGCAGGCGAGGGTCTTGGGGATGGCCAGCTCCATCGGTGGGGGGGCTAGTCAGCCCTCCCCAGCACAGGCCCCCTGGGGAGGTTGGGCACACCCCTTCCTCCTACTGGGCTTCTGCGGCCCCCAGGGAGGAGCCACAGGCTCTGCAGATGGCCTGAGCTTCTGCAGTTCTGGGTACTCACCTCAGGAAAAGGGACAGAGGGCCAGGGGAAGTACGGTGCTGGAGCCACACACTGCTGACTGCGGTTCGAGTCCAGTACCTGGTAGCTTGAAAAATCACACTGGGTATGTGTGTGCATGTCTACAATCCCGAGGGGAGAATGAAAAGGGATTGCAGTGTGGCCGTGCCCCTGGCGGGTGATTCTCGCTTTCCCCCTCTGTCTTTCTCCATCTAGTGCACATGCTCTGTGGCAAAAAAACAAACTTAAAGAAAGAGGGACCAGCAGTTAGCATAATGGCTATGTCTCTGGACTCCCACGTAGTCGACCGCGGTTCGCGTCCCAGACCCAGTGGCTTAAACTCACGCCTGGTGCGTGTGCATGCATGCCCAAGATCCCGAGAGGAGAATGGAGGAGAAGGGATTGCGGCGTGACCATCCCCCCTGGGGAGTGATTTCTCACTTTCTATCTCTCTGTCTCTCCCTGTCTTTCTGGCGAGCACACACACCCTATAGCAAAAACCTCTCCAAAAAAATAAGAAAGAAAGAAAATACAACATTATGACCAAAATTAGTATTAAGTAAATATGAGACCAAACGAGAAAAGAAGCCACAGACATTGTAAAAGCCGGCAGGTCCTCCCTGTTCCAGACTGAAGGTTCTGCGTGCTGTTTTCTGTTAACTGGCCAGCGCGTCCCTGCGATATTTCCTCCTGGCATTTTTGGGCCTGTACTTTTTAAGAATCTTTTCCTGTGACATGGCAATGGCAAACCTCACTTTCTGTGGAGAGAATACGAGGGTAAGGGGCTCTTTTCTCTCATAGGGTTGATTCATTTTTTCCTCCCACATTTTATAAAAAACTTCAAACACAGACATTTTGAAAGAACCGCTTAGTGACGGCCACACACCGCCCATGCGGATTTTAAGTGATTCTAGCTTGCTCCAGGATGCGTGCTTGCCAGAGGGAGAAGGAAAGTGAGAATGGCCACACTGCAGTCCCTTCTCATTTCAGGACTTTGGGCACACGTGCACATGTACCTGTTTGTTTTTCAAGCCACGAGGTGTGGATCTCGAGCGACGCAGTCGGCCGTGTGGGATCCAGCTGCCTTCACGTCACCACCATGCCACGGGCCGGCCGGCCTGGTCATCTGATGGTGCGGGAGTTTACCTTTGGCTCTATCTGCTTAATTATGTATCTGTGCATCTATCTCTAGCCTTTTTTTTCCCCAAGAATTACTTGTTTATTTAGTTCCGTTTGTTGTTATTGTTTTTTAAAATTTGACGAGAGAGAAACAGAGAAAGGGAAAGCAAGAAAGCAAGATTCCAGGTCCTGGACTCGAACTACAGTCGGCCATGTGGGAGTCCAGCACCTTAGTCACTACGGTGCTTACCCACCCCTATCTCTATTCGTTTTTAAAAATGTGTCTCAAGGGACCAGCAGTTAGCGTAATGGCTGTGTCGCGGGACTCCCACATAGTCGACTGCGGTTCGAGTCCCGGACCCGGTGGCTTAAACTCAACGCCAGGCGCGGGTGCATGCGTGCGTGTCCAAGATCCCAAGAGGAGAATGGAGGAGAAGGGGTTGCAGCGTGGCCATCCCCCCTGGGGGGGGATTTCTCGCTTTCTGTCTCTCTGACTCTGGCTTTCTGGCAAGTGCCCGTGCCCTATAGCAAAAACCTCTGGGGAGGGGAATGTGTCTCAAACTAAATGCAGATAGCAGTGAACACTGTCCCTTTCTCCTCAAACTAAATGCAGATAGCAGTGAACACTGCCCCTCCCTCTTTTCAGCCTGTCTCATTAATTTGCATTCAAATGAAATCGGTTTCTTGTCCCTGGTGAGTGAGGAGCTGACGCACTCTACCTGACAGGGAGAGAGGAGAAGCCTTGGGGGAGGAGGAAGCTGATAGCAGGAGATGCCTACCCAGGAGCTCAGGTCTCCCCCAGAGCCTGGGGACCCCAGCTGCAGTGGGCACTTTGAATCTGAGGGCCAGACCCCTTGGCCAGCGACCCTGGCTGCCGCTGCCCGTCTAGGCCAGGTTCTGCTCATCTGCCAGCTTGGTCCAAACGCTCCTTCCGTGCTTCGTAGCACACATACTGAAATCACGGGACGGAGAGGAGGCCTGGCCCTGCCAGGGCGACACACGCACTCGCGAAGCGTTCCTTTGACTGGTTATGTATTTTGGGAAAATATACTCCTGCATATAAAAAGCAAAAACAGAAAGAAAAACAAAAACAAAAAAAAAAACTTCCTCCTCCAGGAAGCCTCCACTAGCCTCCCGCCACTCCACACTGGGTTGGGCTGTGTTCCTGAAGTTTCCCGGTCTCCGTGTGACACGGGCAGCCCCTGCCCTGTGTCCCCTCTGCTGGGCTGAGTGCCCACGAGGACAGGCTGCCAGGCCTCGCCCCCACCTGCCCCCCAGGCCTGCCCGAGTAGACTCAGCAGATGCCTGAGGTGGGCAGAGAGAGCTGGGCGGGCACGGAGGGTAGTGGGCACTTTACGGTGGCGCCCCCTGCTGGCAGAGCCCTGCTGACCCAGCCCTGCATGTCTCCTCAGTGCCCCAGGGTCAACGGCGTCCAGGCACACACGAACAAATGCAACCGGAGACAGGTGGCCCTGGACCTGCAGATCTGGTGAGCAGGGGCCTCGGGGTGCTGGGGACGCTCTGTGGGCACCGTCGGTTTGAAGACGGGGTAGCGTGTATGCACTTTGATTTGGGGTGTAACCCCTCACAGGACACCCTTCCCCAGAGCTGGCATACAAAGTCCTCGCTCAGGGGAGAAGTTTCAGGAGAATGAGTGGCTGGGGCAGCTGTTGTCTGGTCCCTTGTCCCAGGTGTGGCTTCTCCATCCTGTGGCATGCTCAGGGTACCCACAGGTCACCTGGGGTCAGACCAGCTGCCTCAGAGGGGTGAGAGGGAGCCACTGTGACAAGATGAGGCGGGGTCTGTGGGTGAGGCCCAGGCTGGAGACCTGGGCTCTGTGGCACCTCAGGAAACCAGAGGGTGCAGACACATGAGTGACTCGTTCAGGGCGTTGGGCAAGGGCACCTTATTACATGAGGTACATAATGGGCTTGAGTCAGGAAGAAGGGAAGTTCAATCTAGGAAGTCTTCCTGGAGGTGGTAAGATTTGAATTGTGCTTTAAAAGACACAGGATCAACTCCCAAGGTCCTGGAGTTCCTTTCTGGTGTCTCATGTTTCCTGTCCTTGGCCCAGAAGCTGGTGCTGATAGCACGTGGGCAGCCAGGAGCCCATTCTAGGACCCCCATCCCCACTTAGGGGCTGGTCTCGAGTGTGTGGCCCTGCCATGTGTGAATACCTGGGGCTCATCAAGGCCACCTGCCCCTTAGCCTCCCGGGCAGCCGTCTGCTCGCCCCTGCACACTCGGGGCACGCATCATCCCCGCCCCACATCACCGCATCCTGCGGATGTCTGACAGCTGCCCTCCCTTCCCCTAGTCCCATCAGTCCTTTCACAGGGGTCCTTCAGCTCTCCCCAAAGGGGAGCCATCCTGGTCTCCCCATGCCTGTCACCCGGCAGGAGCCACCAGCAGGACTCGGGCTCCTGTCCTCACAGCCAGAGCCTCACTGCCAGGGCCCAGGAACACCCTGGGACAGCAGCATGTGGGCTGCTTCAGACCTGGCCATGGCGGGGGGCGGGGCAGGGGTGCAGCAGGTCTGGGCGGAGCTGAGTGAGCAGACCTCAGGCCTGTGGCCGGGTGCCCAGACTCGAGCTCTAGGACACCAGCGGAGTGTCCCAACTTCTCCGAGCCCATGAACCAGCCCTCCCCCACCCCCACACCCCCCTCCTGTCTGCAGCTACATCGGGGACTGCGAGATCAGCGTGGAGCTGCAGAAGATTCAGGCCGGCGTGAACGGGATCCAGGTGGGTGAACGGCAGGTCAGGGCTGGGCAGGAAGCTGCCCGTGCTGGGGCCAGCCGAGGTGGTGGCATGACACCACGCAGGCTGGTGGCAATCCAAGAGCTGTGGCTGGAGGTCGCAGGCCAGAGAGCGGCGGCCAGGTGTGATGAAGCATCCCCCTCCTGCGTCTGATTACAGAGTGCGCCAAGGGCTTGGGGTCCCGTGTCTGGAGCGATGAGAGCCACTGCTTAGCTCAGGAGTGGGTCCCGAGGTGGAAATGCTCCTCCCGGGAGTAGAGGAGTGAGCCAGGGCTGAAAGCACACCCAGGCCCCGATGCCGGCTGGCCTGACGCTGGGCAGTGGTGGGGCCAGCTTGGGGCCCTTGGTTACTGGCAGAGGCTGGCAGCTGCATCCAGGCCTCGGTGCCCGCTGGGCTCTGTTGTGAGAGCAGGTGGCCTGCGGCACGTGGTCCTGACATCTGGGGTGGCCCGGGTGTGAGGTGGGGCAGCACTGAGCCCTGCTGTGTGCAACGGTGTGGGAAGGGAGGTGGGTGGCCCTCACGGCCAGCCCTCACGGCCCTTCCTGCCGTGGAGCTGCAGGGCACCCTGCGCATCGTCCTGGA